GCGTGGGCTCCATGCCATTCGATCCACAGGGTCCCTGGGGATCGGAGCCAACGGTTGCAAAATCCACCTGTCAGTGGAGCAGGGGTTCCCCGGTTCTGCAGAAGAGTCAGCTTTTGGCAAAGGCCGTGCCACAACAGCCGGAAGAGGGTGAGACTGCGGCTCGCTCGGGCGGGCAGGGAGCTGCCTGACTTACCGCCCGGTTCCCACTGGACTCGGTGCTGGACAGCACCAAGCCTGGGAGCAGGAATGGAGTCCCAGCCCAGTCCTCAGCCTCAGCGGAGGGCCCAGACTGGCAGTGACACCTCAGCACATAGAGACATGGGCTGGGTGCTGCAGGAGCACTGAGAAGTCTCGGCGGGCCTCCCAGAGGAGGGGGCATCATTGCAAAGACGCATGGAATGGGCCAGGCAGCGTCAGGAGCGGGAAGGGCAGTCCTGGCTGAGGAAGCAGCAGCAGCAGAGGCCTGGGAGTGCCTGCAGACGCTGGCAGAGCGCCCGCCGCTTCGTGCCCGCTCTGTAAGTGGGAGGCCCTGCCGCCGTGGGGGGGTTCCTGTCGCTATTATTAACCTGCACACACCACATCGTACTTGTACTCTCTGAAAGGTACTACGCGCAAGGGCCGCCTGACATGCAGAGCTCTTCTCGCCCATAAAAGGGGCTGTCGTGCACTGAGGGCTGCAGTGTACAAGGTGCTAGCGGGAGTGCCGGGGAGCACGCCAAGCGCCTGGCTCGGCTGCGGCAGGGGCCCCGTGTTCCCGCCATCTGCAGCCTGTGGGCCTTGGGAGGGCACAGGGAAGACACTGTGGGGTCTTCCAACAATGCAGGCACGTGGCTGGGTGCAGTCAGCCAAGGCCAAAGGAACAGCACGAGGATCCCACTAGACAGGCACACTCCCTGCTCCTGGGCTCATCTGTGGCCATTCCCGGGCAAGCGGAGAGCCACAGGGACCCCACTGCCACCAGTCCTGGGCCCTGGCAGGTGACTGCACCTCTCACAGCCTCCGAGCTCCAGTTCCCGCGCTCATAAGATATGTACAAGAATATCCAAAGCACGCTTTAAAACAGCAATTTAAAAACTCCTAGAAACAACATTCAACAACAGGGGGATGAGAACCAGTGCTGTATTCACAGAAGGCCCATTACTCAAGTAAAATGAATACATTATGGGTGTGCAGGCCGTAGACGTGGATTTAACTTTCTTTTATTTATTATTGCTTCATTTTATTCACAAGGCAGAGAGACAGAAAGAGAGACAAAGATGTTCCATCCACAACATCCAGGGCTGGGCAAGTCTGGAGCCAGGAGCCAGAACTCCACCTGGGTCTCCCACGTGGATGGCAGAGAAGCAAGTACTTGAGCCACCATCACCCACTGCCTCCTGGGATGCACATTAGCAGGAAGCCGGAACCAGGAGCAGAACCGGGACTTGATCCCAGTACGCCAGTATAGGATGTGGGCATCCTTTTTTTTTAAGGATTTTTTTTTTTTTTTTGACAGGCAGAGTGGACAGTGAGAGAGAGAGACAGAGAGAAAGGTCTTCCTTTGCCGTTGGTTCACCCTCCAATGGCCGCCGAGGCCGGTGCGCTGCGGCCGGCGCACCGCGCTGATCCGATGGCAGGAGCCAGGAGCCAGGTGCTTTTCCTGGTCTCCCATGGGGTGCAGGGCCCAAGCACCTGGGCCATCCTCCACTGCACTCCCTGGCCACAGCAGAGGGCTGGCCTGGAAGAGGGGCAACCGGGACAGAATCCGGCGCCCCGACCGGGACTAGAACCCGGTGTGCCGGCGCCGCTAGGTGGAGGATTAGCCTAGTGAGCCGCGGCGCCGGCCAGGATTTTTTTTTTAAGATTTATTTTATTTAATTGAAAGACAGTTACACTGGCCGGCGCCGCGGCGGCCATTGGAGGGTGAACCAATGGCAAAGGAAGACCTTTCTCTCTGTCTCTCTCTCTCACTGTCCACTCTGCCTGTCAAAAAAAAAAAAAAAAGAAAGAAAGAAAGAAAGAAAGAAAGAAAGAAAGACAGACAGTTACAGAGAGAGGTAGTGACAGAGAGAGAGGTCTTCCATGTGCGGGTTTACTCCCCAGATGGCCGCAACAGCCAGAGCTGTGCCGATCTGAAGCCAGGAGCCAGGAGCTTCTTCTGGGTCTCCCACATGGGTGCAGAGGCCCTAGGATTTGGGCCATCCTCTACTGCTATCCCAGACCACAGCAGAGAGCTGGTTCGGAAAAGGAGCAGCCAAGACTAGAACCAGCACCCGTATGGGATGCCGGCACTTCAGGCCAGGGTTTTAACCTGCGGTGCCACAGCGCCAGCCCCTTTTTAAAGGATTTTTAAAAATTTACTTGAGAGGTAGAGTTTGTAAGCAGGGAGAGGGAGAGGGAGAGAGAAAGGTCTTCCTTCCATTGGTTCACTCCCCTAATGGCCACTATGGCCGGCGCTGCGCCAATCCAAAGCCAGGAGCCGAGTACTTCCTCCCGGTCTCCCAAGCCAGTTCAGGGACCCAAGCACTTGGGCCATCCTCCGCTGCCCTCCTGGGCCACAGCAGAGAGCTGGACTGGAAGAGAAGCAACCGGGACTAGAACCCGGGGTGCCGGTGCTGCAGGCAGAGGATTAGCCTAGTGAGCCACGGCACCAGCCTCAAGCAAAGTCTTAACCACTACCCCAACCTAGAAATGGATTTTTGTGTGAAAATCATTTTGTGTGAAAAAGAAAGTCGATACTGGCATTGTAGTATAGTGGGTAAAGCATCCCATATGGGCACAGAGTCGAGTCCCAGCTGCTCCACTTCAGATCCAGCTCCTTGCTAATGTGCCTAGGAAAGCAGCAGAGGATGGCCCAAGTCCTTGGGCTCCTGTACCCATGTGGAAGACCCGGATGAAGCTCCTGGCTCCTGGCTTCGGCATTGCTCAGCCTGGGCCATTAAGGCCACTTGGGGTGTGAACCAGCAGATGGAAGATCTCTCTTTCTCTCCCTCTCTCTGTATCTCTGCCTTTCAAATAAACAAATACATCTTTTTATTTATTTATTATTTTTAAAAGATATATTTGTTTATTTGAAAGTCAAAGATACAGAGAGAATAGAGAAATAGAGAGATCTTCCATCCGCTGGTTCACTCCCCAAATGGCCAAAACAGCCGGGGCTGGGCCAGGCTGAAGCTGGGAGCCAGGAGCTTCTGCCAGGTCTCCCACATGGGTGCAGGGCCCCAAGCACTTGGGCCATCCTCTGCTGCTTTCCCAGGCACATTAGCAGGAAGCTGCATAGGAAGTGGAGCAGCAGAGACATGAACCAGAGCCTGTAATGGGATGCTGATGTCACAGGAGGCGGTGGCTGTACCTGCTACGACACAGCGCCAGCCCCAATAAATACATCTTTAAAAAAGAAAGAAAAGGAAGTCACAAAATTATAGAATGACTCTATTTTACACAAAACAAAACAAAAGGATAACTAAATAATATACTCTTTAGGGATTCATACAAAGGTGGTAGAATTAAAAGAAAAGCAAGGGAGGGGCCGGCGCTGTGGAGTGGCAGGTAAAGCCACTGCCTGCAGTGCCAGCATCCCATATGGGCACCAAATCCAGTCTCAGCTGCTCCACTTCCGATCCAGCTCTCTGCTGTGGCCTGGGAAAGCAGTAGAAGATGGCCCAAGTCCTTGGGTCCCTGCACCCATGTGGGAGACCCAGAAGAAGCTCCAGGTTCCTGGCTCCTGGCTCCTGGCTTCAGATCTGCCCAGCTTCAGCCGTTGTGGCCATTTGGGGAATGAACCAGCAGATGGGATACCTCCCTCTCTGTAACTCTACCACTCAAATAAATAAATAAATATTTTTTAAAAAAGAAAAAAAGCGCGCGAGAATGATTCAAATTAAAATTCAGAAAGGTAGTTCTTTAAGATGAGAGGAGGAGGGGCACCCAGAGGATCTCAAAGAACCTGCTTCGAGTTGGGTGAAGACTACTTTATCATCACAAGCATTCTTCAAGGCGTGCATGGCTCCGTCTGTGCTGGCCTTCACCGTGAACTGTCTTTGGTGGTAACACGAACACCCGCCTTGCAGGGCGCATGCACAGTAAGAAAAGTGCCGGTGCACAGAGTACGAGCCCTTGGCTCTGGGTGTCCTGGCTCCCCGGGCCTCAGCTGGGAGCTGCTGGCGCTGGGGCAGCCTTGTCCTCTAGTCTCTGGAGTTCTAGAGTGTTCCCTTACACGCCCGATGGAAGCCCTGGCTCACGGTGACTTCCAGTGGCCGAGGTGGTACCTGATGCACAGGAATGGGGGCTCTTGGTTCCTGGTTCAAGTCTTTGTGGCTGAGGCCACTGAGTTTTGATTGCATCTCAAGGGCAACATGGACACCGTAACCTCCGTCTGCCTCGTCTGAGGCTGTGGGTGAACACTGTGGAATGTGCTCACGTGAGAGATCCTGAGCCTTTGACCGGGAAGGCTTCCATGCAGTCACGGAGGGCCAGCCAGGCGAGTTGTGGAGGGGACAACGCTATCCTGTGAACACGGACGCGGTGATTGGTGCACACGTCCCTCCCGTCCCTCGTTTGTTTTTTGGTCACTGTGTCCGCTACTTCCCTTTCCATCCTGGTAAGGTGCTCACTGTAGAAAAGTGTACCTATCCGCCCCCCTCCCTCAACTGCTTCAATAGCCATGCACCTGCCGAGTGGTCCCGTCTCCGTGGGAAAAGCACCTGTCTTGGGACACCTATTGTCCCACCTGCAGCACTGTTTAGAGTGGGCAGGCCCTGGGTGCCCCAGACTGCACCTGGCTGTTTTGAGTGCGGGTCAAGTTCATAGGTCCGAATGTTGGTGGCCGCGCCTGTCTGCTGCACGCACCTCGGTCGGTGCCGCACCTGACACGTGCCTGGCTCGGACGGCGCCTGCCCGCGCGGTCCCCCGCCCCGTCTCTGGACGGCCGATCCCATCCCAGGCCGGGCCCCGAGCTCCAGCCGCGGGGGCGGGGCCGCGGGCCGGGCCGGGGCGGGGCGGTGCTCGGGGCGGAGCAGGAAGGGGCGGTGGCCCTGCCCGGCTTCCGCGTCACCCTCCTTAACGCCACCTGCCTGTGGACCGGCCCGTATAAAGGCGTCGCTGGCCTTGCCCCCGGGACTCGGCCCCATGGAGTCGCCGCCGGCCGAGGGCGGCGCGCGGCTGGGTGAGCGCGGCGGGAGGGGTGCGGGCGGCGGGGCCGGGCTGGGCTGCGGCCGGGTCGGACTCGAGGGAGGGCCCTGGGGCCGGTCCCCGCGACCCCTTCCACTCAGCCCACGCCGGGAGCGCGGAGGGGGCGGCCGTGGGAGCGCGGGTCTGTGGGCCGGGACAGCCCCCGCGTCACCGGCGCCCGGCAGCCGAACAGACTTTCCCGGCAACTTTTCTCCGGCGTGGGTCACCCCGGAAACTCGGCCTGCCCCGGCCCGGGAGTCCGGTCGGGGCCCTGCGCCGCCTGGGCCTGGGCCGCGAGTGCGGGGCGGGCGGGCGGAGGCGATGGCTTCGCCGGGGAAGCCCCCTGCCCCTAGCACCCATCTGACGGCCCCTAGCACCCGTCTGAGTCCGGGTTTCCATCCGGGAGCCCCGCCCCTGCCTTCTGGGTCCCTGGGTGGGTGCTGGGGTGGGGGTGGAGTCGGACACTAGGTTGGAATGTTTGGCCGCCAGCTAACAGCCGGGTGACCTTGAGCAACGTCTGAGTGTGCCTCAGTTTACCGCCCCCCCCCCCCGCTCTCACAGGAGAGCTAGCACGTGACGGGGGCCATGTCTAGTGCCACCGGTTGGGGTTGCCTCATCCTGGTGGGTGGGGCCGGAGGGAGAGAGGATGCAGGGCGCTGACATCCCTACCCCTCGTGCTGGTCCCGCAGGGGCTGTCGCGGGCGCCTTTCTGGAGCCTGAGCCATGAGTGGCTCCTGTGGAGAGACGCCTGTCCCGGAAGCCAGCCCCACTATGAGTCTGTGGGCGCTGGAGGACAGCCGCGGCTGCCGGGGCACCCCTGGGCCAGCCCAGGAGCCCCGAGCCGACGAGGCGGCGGCTCTGGAGCTGCAGATGAAGGTGGACTTCTTCCGGAAGCTGGGCTACTCCTCCTCGGAGATCCACAGCGTCCTGCAGAAGCTCGGGCTGCAGGCCGACACCAACACCGTGCTGGGAGAGCTGCTGAAACATGGGGCCGCGGCGGAGCGGGAGCGCCAGGCCTCGCCGGACCCCTGCACCCAGCTCCCGCTGGTGCCCCGCGGCGGGGGCACCCCCAAGGCTCCCACCCTGGAGCCTCCGCTCCCAGACGAGGACAAGGAGGGCAGCGACCTGAGGCCCGTGGTCATCGATGGCAGCAATGTGGCCATGAGGTAGGCGGTGCATCTGTGGCCAGGGCACGTGGCTCGGTGGCCAGTTGGCCCTGAAGCCCTCAGGTGGGGGCTTGACCTCTGCTCCCGGAGGGAGGGGAAGCCCTAGAGAAGCCGCCCCCCCCCCACCCCTGGCTCCTCACGACGTCTTAAGAGCGGGTCCCTAGCCCTGCTGTAGGGTCAGTGTGCCAGGAGGTGCTGGCGCAAGCACTCCAGTCCAGAGTGATCTGGAGGCTTTGTGCCGTGGCTCTGTCCTTGAGGCCCGCGCTTCGCAGAGCAGGGGCCTGGCCTGGGGGCCGTGGCTGTGTCCCGGGAGCTCTCTTTGCTCACCTGTCAGGGCTGACCCAGCCCTCCCCAGGGTGGGGTGTGTAGGGAGTGGCCAGTGCTCAGGATGAGGGTGGCGATGGCCCTTGGTGATACTCAGGGGCTGGGGCTCTGAGGCCTGCTGGCTGCACAGCCTTCGTGGCTGTGACCGGGAGTGACCTCGAGGCTGGCTTTGGCGCTCAGGAGGGGTGTGGGCGGGCGGCCTGCTGCAGCTCAGCTGTGACTGGGATCCTCATGATTGCACGGACGCTGCCTGAGCTGGACCTGGCTGGGGGCTGCAGAAACTGCAGAGACTGGGCTGGGTGTGGGCAGAAAGTGAGGCCAGGGTCAAGGCCACTGCTGGCCTTTGGGAGCAAAGGCCCCGCCTTCTGGCCCTGCTCTCTCCCCCTCCCCTCCGAGATGGGCTGTGAGTCAGGGCTGGGTGCGTCGCTCTGGAGGAAAAGTTCCTGTTGGCATTGACAGGGAGACCCCAGACAGCTCCCCGCCACCCAGAGGGATCTCCCAGGTGGGCTGCCCGGGCTGGTTGGCTTGACGTCAGCCTCTGCCCTCCCTGGCGTCTGGCCCCGCCCACCCCTGGCCCAGCTGGGCCAAGTCAGCTCTGGGCCCGGCCCAGCACAGCAGGCCAGGTGAGCCCTAGTCCTTCCACCTTCCGGGTCAGTGTCTCCGTCTCTGGGCAGGAGGCTGAGAAGAGGGGGCCTCCGTGCCAGGCGGCCTGTGCTGGGCGGGCTAGGTGTGTTCCTGTGGCCCCTGCGCCGGGGGGGCAGAGGGCCCGGGAGTGGCTGAGCCTGGGGGCCGTCCTGGGCGCCGTGTGTTTGTGTCCCCGCAGGAGGAGTGGTAGACTTTGGGCTCTGGCGGAGCCACCCGGAGCCCACACGGCTGCTGGGGGTTTCTGAGCCGGGGCAGCGCAGCCACGAGGGGAATTCCAGCCTCAGACTTCCTGTCTTAGCTGCTACTGGGTTCCTGCCCTGCCGCCCCCCTCCCCGGGGCGGGCAGTGGGCTAGCCCCCACCGTATGCAAATCGTGGGGAAATTCACCTCTGTTTCCTTCTAAGGGAATTTTTCTCCACTCGCCAAGCCCAGCCCTGGCAGATCTTTTCACCTGGGGAGACTGGCCTGGCCCCGCCCTCTGTCCTAGGGCGGGAGCAGCTCCTCTGGGATCTCCAGCAAACACCCCCCCCCCCCCCCCCGCCCCGGGAGGTCTGCTCAGCCTGGCTGGGGGCCCTGACCCTCTGGGCCCAGGGGATTCGGCGGGGTGAGAGGAAGTCTGGTTTTCCTGCGCTAGCAGAACTTGCTCCATTGCAGCAACAGGGACTGAGGCTGGCGGTCAGGGAGGCACTCTGCCTCCCGGGTCCCTCTCGCGCAAGCCCGCGGAGGGAGCGTTCCAGGTGCTAGGGCTGCTGAGGATGGACTTGGCCCCAGCCAGGTTTTCAGTGCACTGCCCTAGGAGCTCTGGCATCCCAAGAGATTGCAGGTTTGGAGACACTGGCCTAAGCATGGGGTACACACGTGTGTACGCGCGTGTGGACAAAGGGGGGGGCAGGCAGATGCAGGTGCAGGCTGCACACCTGAGACTGGGACCCAAGCCCGAGGTGACCACACCCCCACAGGGGAGGGTGGGGTAGGGGGAGCTCTGGGCACACATGAGCCATCCTGGCAAGTCAGGGAAGGCTTCCCAGAGGCGGTGACACTTCCCATGGGTCCTGAAGGAAGAGCTGCGTGTCCCAGAACATCACGTCCTCCTGCTCTGCTGTTTCCAGCCCGACCCTCCCTCTGCACACGTTTTGTTCAAACTCCACTTTGCACGCATTCTGCTCCCCCTTGAACTCTGGGTCTTCGGTTAGGGACACGAAGGCATTCTAGCGGCCTCATACTTGGCTTCAAATTCTGCCTGCCTCTCGCCACTAGCTGGGTGAGTTGCAGAGCCCCCGTAAGGGTGAAGGGACGCGTCTGGCTCCCCGCTGAGCTCAGTGCCCCGCCCATGACTTCCCTGGGACCAGGCTCGCACCTGCCCGCGCACGCACGCACACACACACACACACACACACACACATCGGTCATGAGCACGACCCCAGTGGCCACGCTACCCTCTGTGCTCTGTGGTTTTCTCAGCTGGGGGAAGGGGGCCATGGTGATGGTGCCCCGACCTGGGCCTGCGGTGATTCAGGACGAAGCTTGCCCAACTGCTTGGTTCCCAGCACCGGGTTTCATCATGAACAGGCTGGGGCTCCAGGCAGGGCCGAGTGCTGCCTTAGGGCTGGCTGGGCTTGGTCCCCACTATGGTGCACAGAGACCTTCAGACCCCAGAATAAACCTCCAAGCAGCCTCTCTGCACCCCCCCCCGCCCTCCCCTCCCCCGCCTTCTCATGGGGCTCCAGCTACCACCCTCCAAAGCCGCGTACAGGATGTGGTTGGCCCTGGACTTGCCCCTTTTGCGTAACATCTACTCTGTCATGTTTGCCAATTGTGAGAGGTCGGAGGTGCTCACCCCAGGGGGCAGCGAGAGGCAGGGGCTGGCGGGAAGGAAGCCCCGGGCCCAGACCCACCGCCCTCCCAGGAAGCCCAGCTGGAACTTGGGAACTTGGGTGGACCGTCTTTGGCCTCAAGCCAGCAGAAGAGCTGCCCATGGCCAGGCCCTCCTTCCCGACAGGAGCCACTGTGCCAGGCCGGAGGCCGTCTTCTGGGCCAGGCCACGTTTGGTCATGAGCCCCGGGCGGGGAGGATGTGCGGGCTCCCGGCGCTCCTGGCTGGCAGCCTTCCCGGGTGTGTTGCCAGGCCTTCCTGTCTCGAGCCACGCCCTCCGAGGATGGGCGGCCTGGCGTCTGGGGGAATCGCCTGCCTTGGGAGAAGAGCAGTGTCCTTTCACTTTCAGCAGCCTCCTCCCTTGGTCACTTCCTGTCCCGCGGTGAAGGCTGCCAGGACCACGCGTCGGGCCCGGCCCCTTTCCCTTCGCCCTCCCGGGGTCCCAGCCCCTGAGGCTTAGCGCAGGGACTGAACTTTAATCCGGAACAGCCCGGCTACTCCTCAGCGCGCCAGGCCGGTGCTTCCCCCTCCTCCACGGCGGCGGGCTGCACGGCTGCCGCGCGGCCCAGGGAGGGGCGGTGACTCAGTGCGCTGTGCACATCTCTGTCCTGTGGTCCCGGCAGCTGCCGGGCGGGGCAGGAACCAGAAGTCTCCCAGCGCCTTTCCCCCACCCCCAGGTGTGTTGCAAGGAGGCCAGACCCTCCCCCACCACAGGGAGAGGTGCTGCCAGATTCCTGGGTGTTTCCCAGGATCTCCGGGAAGTCCTGTGTGTGGCTGCCTGGGGCCTGGTGGGAACCAGCACCGGAGCGTGGTGGGCCTGGGCCGGTGAGTGATCCGCTGCCCTCCTGCCCAGGCTGGCCGCCCTGGGCTGACCTGTGCCTCCCCCCCCCCCACCCCCAGCCACGGGAACAAGGAGGTGTTCTCCTGCCGGGGCATCCTGCTGGCTGTGAACTGGTTTCTGGAGCGGGGTCACACAGACATCACGGTGTTTGTGCCGTCCTGGAGGAAGGAGCAGCCTCGGCCTGACGTGCCCATTACAGGTGAGCGGGCTGACTTTACTGCCCAAGAAAGACCCTGCGGGCCAGCGCGACAGTTGGCAGGCTTAGGCAGGGGCCAGCATTTCCTTCCCTGGGTTTTGCTGCTCTGAATGGGGGCCATCGGAGATGACCTTGTCCAGCTTTCAGCCTCAGGTACTGGTCACCTCCTCAACCTAGCGGTGGGCAGGCCACTCTCCCAACGTGCTCAGTGGAAGAGGGGCAGAGCAGCCAGTGGTTAAGCCGGTGGACTGTGGGCTGACAGGCAGAGTTGGAATCCTGGCTGTGCCCCATACCGGCTGGCTCTGTGGCCTGGGTTAGTCAGCCCTGCCCTGAGCCTCTCGTGCCACATCTGTACAGTGGGTAGGGCCAGGGCTCTGCCGTCAGTGCCTCGCGTGACAAGTGCCGAGAAGGCCTGCATGCCCTAAGCGCTGCATCCACTTCAGCTGTCCCACTGCTCTCACAAGGACCGCCAGCCTGCAGGGCTGGAAACACAGTCCATCTTTCTAGAAGTCTCGAGATCCAGGCTGGCTTGCACAGGCATGATGTCCAGAGGGGAAGAAAAAGGGCAGCCCTGTGCCCTGGGCACTTGCCGCGTGGGACCTGTGGCTCACAGAGCTCAGGCAGCGTTGGTCTCCAGGCCGCAGACTGTGGGCAGGGCCAAGCCGGGCACCGGGGTGTGGCCATGGCCTCGGCATAGCTGCACCTGCACCTGCACCTGGTCACCAGGAGGTTAGGGCCCGCAGGGCTCTGACCTGCACCCGTCCCCCTCCCAGACCAGCACATCCTGCGGGAACTGGAGAAGAAGAAGATCCTGGTGTTCACACCGTCGCGGCGAGTGGGCGGCAAGCGGGTGGTGTGCTACGACGACCGCTTCATTGTGAAGTTGGCCTTCGAGTCCGACGGGATCGTGGTCTCCAACGACACCTACCGGGACCTGCAGGCTGAGCGGCAGGAGTGGAAGCGCTTCATCGAGGAGCGGCTGCTCATGTACTCCTTCGTCAACGACAAGTACGTGCGCGCCAGGAGCCGGCCCCACGGCCCCACCAGGCCTGGAGGGGAAGCCAGGCCTGCTCTTGGGAGCTCTGGGCCCAGGCCGGGCGGGGGCGGGAGCGTTTGTGCCGGAATGTCAGTGTTTTGGGACAGCCTCTCCGGCCCTACTGCCTTGCCCCCCGAGCAGAAGCCTGGGTCAATAGAGGTGCAACCTCTGACGCCTTCAGAGAGCCCCTGGCCTGGGGCCCTCCTGCCTGGCGATACCCCTTGCCTCCTGGGCCTGACCGTTCTGGATGCCCTGTGGATACAGCAGTCCTGGGAGCTGCTCTCAGGCCTCCCCAGCGAGGCTCGCCGCCCCCACCTCCCCAGAGTCCTCCCTGCCCTTTCAGGTTCATGCCTCCTGATGACCCCTTGGGCCGGCATGGGCCCAGCCTGGACAACTTCCTGCGTAAGAAGCCACTCCCCTCCGAGCACAGGAAGCAGCAGTGCCCCTATGGTATGAGACCTAGCTCAGCCCTCCGAGGCCCCCCACTTGACCTGAGCCTGCTTGCGCCCCACCTTCTTCCTCTTGGGGACCACCCAACCCCAGTGCCCCCTTTGGCCCCCGCTTAGAGCTCCGCTTCCTTCCCCGTGCAGGGAAGAAGTGCACCTACGGGATCAAGTGCCGATTCTTCCACCCGGAGCGGCCCAGCCGCCCCCAGCGCTCCGTGGCCGACGAGCTCCGTGCCAATGCCCTCCTCTCGCCCCCCCGGGCCCCAGGCAAGGACAAAAGTGCCCAGCGCCCTGCACCTTCACCACAGCCCGGCTCTCTGCCCACAGAAGGTGAACTGGGTGGCCTGGACGGGAAGAAGCCGGGGGCCCGAGCCTCCCCAGGACCCCGCCGCGAGGGGCTCACGCAGACCTTTGCCCCAGCGAGCAGGACTCTCCCAGCCAGCGGGGTCAGCGGGAGCAGCTTCGGGCCCTCAGACTGGCTCCCACAGACCCTGGACTCACTCCCGTACACCTCCCAGGACTGCCTGGATTCGGGCATTGGCTCCCTGGAGAGCCAGATGTCAGAACTGTGGGGGGTTCGAGGCGGAGGCCTGGGAGAGCCAGGCCCGCCTCGGGGTCCTTACGCTGGCTACCACTCTTACGGCTCTGAGCTCCCAGCCACGCCGGCCTACCCAGCCTTTGGCCGGGCCATGGGCGCTGGCCACTTCAGCGTCCCCACTGACTACGCACCCCCGCCACCCACCTTTCCACCCCGAGAGTACTGGTCAGAGCCATACCCGCTACCCCCACCCACGCCAGTCCCTCAGGATCCCCAGGGGCCGAGCCCTGGGCCCGGTGGGGCCCCGTGGGGCGGGGTGGGCAGCCTGGCCAAGGAGCGGGCCAGCGTGTACACCAAGCTGTGCGGCGTCTTCCCCCCGCACCTGGTGGAGGCTGTGATGGGGCGCTTCCCGCAGCTCCTGGACCCCCAGCAGCTGGCAGCCGAGATCCTGTCTTACAAGTCCCAGCACCCCAGTGAGTAAGGCAGCCGGTGGCCGGTGGGGGGTGGGGGGTGCTGTCCGGCCAGGCTTGGTGCGGTCAAGTGGCTCGTTCCCAGCCCGGGGGCAGCCCTGGAGGCTAGACAGCAGGAGGGTGAAAGTAGGGAAGGGAGCCCGCAAACCAAAGATACTGTAGGATTGGTTCTGGCCCACACGGCTGCCCAGCCGCGTGTCTGGGTGGGTCAGAAGCGATCGCCCTGTTGATGCACATTGTATCTGTAGTCTAAGCAGACGCTGCCAGTAACGGCCGTCGGTCTGTGGCTGAGGCCCAAACCCTCTTTTCTCTCAGAGGGCGGGGAGGGAGGCTGGGGGGAGCAGAGGCCTGGGCTGGGGGCCCTGTGCACGGCCCCCCACCTCCGCCCTGTCCCTGGGATGCCAGCCTTGGCTGGCCAGTTGGGCACCGTGTGCCTGCCCTCCGGGGGCCCCTCCTCTAAGCCAATGAGGCCTTGCCCGTGCTCGCTCGCTGGGCGCAAGGCTTCATGTTAGTAAGCAAGATGCTTCTTAATAACCTACCTTCTGCCCCACTCCGTTCACCTGCCCCAGGGACCTGGGGCCCTCCGCGCTCCCCGAGGGTGGGAGGACACGCGTGTCTGTGTTCTACGTGGAAAGCCCTTCCCTCCCGTAACGTCAATAAAGCAGTGTGACCCCTTTTCAGAGGCACTGTTGTCGCCTTCCTGCCTCCAGCGTCGGGCTGGCCTGCCGGTGAGGAAGGCGGGCCGGTGGGAGCCCCCACGGCCCTGCCCCTGCTCTGGAAGGAGGGTTACCAGCTCGCACACGCGTGCTGTGCCTGCACTGGAGGCAGCTGTGGGCCTGGGCAGGCGTGGGCACCGGCCTAGGAAGCGGAAGTGTGACAGGGCCTGGAGTCCTGTGGCCGTGCACGGCCGGGGCTGTTCCTCTTTTCTGGGCTGTGGCCAGAGCCAGGGCTAGGAAAGCGCCGGGCCAGGGCGATGGCCTCGCAGGGGTTGGCTGGAAGGACTGACTGGCAAGTCTTGAAGACTCAGCTCTGGCCCTGTGCTCCCAGCCACGGCTGTGCTCCGGATCCCAGCTCAGCAGGCAGGGCAGAGGCTGTGGGGCGGGCAGTGGCAGGGTACCCTCCAGCAGGCGAGGAGCCCTCTGCCACTGGTTGTCACCTGGGAGGAGTGAGTGCCCCTTGCAGGGGCTCAGTGTTCTCTACGAAGTGAGGGTAATAACGGTATCTACCCTACAGGCCTGACACCTGGCGCAGGGCAGGTGCTCGCCGAGAGGCCTGTGGTGCAACTCCCCAAGGGCTCCGTGCGCTGGGTCCTCCCTCCATCCAGCGTCTGACTTACCTGACCCACAGAGATGCCTGCAGAACCACACACACCACCCCTGTCGGTGAAAAACTGGGGTGTGGTGTCAAATAGCTGGGCTATCCCATGACTGCCACACACACACAACCAGCAGGGGGAAAACGGGAACGTTTTTGTTTTAAGGCTTTTTGTTTTTTAAAATTCTTATTTATTTGAAAGGCAGAGTGACAGGGAGAGACAGATCTTCCACCCACTGGTTCACTTCCTCAAATGGCTGTAATGGCCAAAGCTGGGCCAGGCTGAAGCCAGGAGCATCATCCGGGTCTCCCATGTGGGTGGCAGGATCCCAAGCACTTGGACCATCTTCCGCTGCTTTCCCAGGCACATTAACAGGGAGCTGGATTGGAAGTGGAGCAGCCGGGACTCGAACCCATGCCCATATAGGCTTAACCCACTGCCCAACGCCAGCCCAGGAGAAAAGTCTCAGTGATGCTAGCTTTGATTGTCTCACCTAATTGGTCCTTGGTTGAGAGGTGGTTGTGGCATCGTTTTATTTGGAAACTGCTCTGGCACAAGACCACTGAGCCGCATGTTGAGGGAAACGCCACCCTGGTGCCCCTGCACACAATGCCCCCACCTTGTGCTTGGGGTGGGACTCAGTGCATGACCCGGAAGTGATTCTGCCAAGTGGAACTCAAAGCCTCCCACAAAGTCTTCTTCACGGTGTCCCATACCTGCTGCTTCCAGAAAATGGCACTGCCTTGTTTACAAATGACTTTTTTCCCATCAATAACTGTATTTCAGATTAAATGGCTACCTTTGGGTCCCTGTTTTTCGGGGCAAGAAGCTGAAATACTGGATTGTCCAGTTCATTATCAGGCACTTGGCAATGCCAAGTGACTTGTCCAAGGTTCCATGGAGGAGGACTGACTGGAGCAGGGCCTTGTACTGGTCCCCCAGCCCCCAGATCTGAGGAAGGGAAGGGCCTCAGACACCAGGAGCCCGAGTAGCCCCACCGCCGCACCCTCCTGTGCTGTGGAGCTTGGAGGCTCTGAGGCCTCAGGGGCCACCTAGAAGGGGAAGTAGGGAGCTCTCTCACCCCTCCTCCCACCCACGTGCCCACTGGCCATGGACTTGGGAGCTCACACTTGCTTCTTGACCGGGGCTGAACTCTTGGTCACTTGCTGCTTCTGCCTGAGTGTGTGCAGGGGTGGGGCGGGGAGCGACTCTGCGGGCAGGTGGGCAGCGGGCAGCAGGTGCCGGCTGGCTGTGGTTGTCTGGAGGTGTGGTCTGGTCCTACAGGTTTATCCATGGGTGCCAACGATGACAGCAGGGCCCGTGCAGCAGGTGCCGAGCTCTGTGGAGGATCTGGTCCGTTCTGCCCTTCCTTGTGGGCCCAAGCTTGTAGCCTGTGCTTTCCCGGCAGCCTTGGCCACACTACGCTGGCCATCGATGCTTGGAGCTTCCCTTGGGGCCTCTTTCCCAATCTGGCTTCCAAGCAGAGCTACTCAGAAGCTTCCAGGCCCAATGCCCAGGCTAGTTCTTCCCCCTGGCTTAGGTTTTAACTCTGCAAGTTCTCCCCACTGCCTCCTGTCACACTCCTTCAAGTGGCTTAAACAGGCGGCACTTCCTCCCAGGGTCTGTCTCCACCTCTCCACCTTCTATACTTCCCAAGAGGATACCCCAGTCTGTGTGTTGGCAGCAGGAGAGGGAGGTGGCCTGGGTTCACCCAGGCCCACTCACTTCCCCTCTCGACAGCCTCAACTCCCATCCCCACCCCCCCAGCTCTGGTGATCTGTACAGGACAGGGTGGCAGGAACAGAATGTGACTCCTGAGACCAAAGCTCAAACCATGGAGACGGCGGCAGCTGCTGAGAGGGATCAAACTCCAGGTGGCTTCCCCACGCGCTCTTTCCTCCTCTGGCTTTCCTGGTTCCAGGAGCCAAGAAGCTGATGGGGAAAACTGGCCAGTATGCAAATTCCTGCGCTGTTGGGAAATGACACAGAGGACTGGCGCCTCCCACCCACTTTTTCCCACACCCCCAAAGGCCCTCCTTCCACCCCGGCCTGTGGCTGTCTTGGACAGGTGCCCAACCCTGGGCTGTCTTGCAAGTTCTGACTCGCACAGGGGTTCACCCCCGCTTGGGGTGCAGATTGCAGAAGCCGGGATGACCATGGCCTGCCCGGAGAGAAGGAAGCAGCCCACAACAGGAAGGCGTCCTGGCCGCTCAGTCCCCGCCCCCCTCCTCCCCACCGGGGGCAGCTCGGCAGTGGCTAAGAACCGGGGACCTACACTAGCAGCAGGAGAGCGTGCTCTGGGCTCCGGCGGAGTGGCTCTCCCAAGGCCCGCAGTGCTGCTGGTCCGCTGCAGGCTGAGCTGAGAAGTGGCCGGGCCAGCCTCCCGCGCTGTGCGAGGTGCTGGGCAGGCCCTGTCAGACAATGTGCCCATCACAGAAAACTGGCTTCCAAGGAGCTGGGAGGAGCTGGTTCCCAGGGGCTCTTGCCCTCAAAGGCAGCCCAAGGACTTTTGCCTGTGGGCTTCTCAAACCCACAGCTCATGTTTTTCTTCCTATTCCACAGCCAAGTGGGTGGTGGAAGCCCATTCCGGGGACCTCCTGGCTCACGGGAAGGGTGGGGCAGACTTGGCTGCGGGAGGCAGGAAGTTGGGCCCTATAATTAAGGAAATCCAGGCCATCCCAAGGCGGTGGCGTGTAAATCCTTCCGGCTGGTTCCTGGAGCGGGAGGAGGCCACAGGTTGTCACCCAGGGCGTGGCTGTTTGAAGCTCCTCTGAACACAGCTGCTGGCGATCTTCAAATATTCACCTGTTTGAGAAATGGCAGCAAAACGAGGCGGGAGGAAAGGCTCGGGGAGCCCACCACACACTGAGCTGGACCTGCGGCTGGGAGATCAGGTCACGGGGCCGTCTCAAGGCAGATTCTGGCTGCTCTCCAGAGGAAGACCTCACTGAAGGCCAAGGTGCTGCTGGCACCTCGCCTGCCACCTGCTGGCACCTCCCGGTACTACTGCCCGGCACGAATCACGGGGAGACCAGGGTCTCCTGCAGGACCCAGGCAAAAGTGGGCAATGCTTCATGGCACCTGCAGCTCCGCCTTGGAAAGCAACACCAGAGGTCACTGCCGTGCCTTTGGCAAAGTCTAAAGCTCCTAAAAGTGCTAACTCTTCCAGGCATTAAAAAAAAAAAAAAAAGTCTAAGTAGAACAGCAGCAGAAGGAAGAAAAAAGTACAAGGATTCACATTTAACAAATGATTTCAAAAATAGAAATAGTGAGGTGCCAGCATCCTGCCCCTCTCGTTTCAGCTCGGTCCTCTTGCTGGCAGGGATGCCAACAACAGAGCGGAGCCAGAGCTCCAGGTTCCCTGGGGTGGGGGGAGCCCTTGCCCCTTGACTCAGCAACCTCCCTGCTGGGCACTCACACTTGCAAACCACGTGTGTAAGACTAGCCACAGGGCTGGCGCTGTGGCATAGTGGGTAAAACCTACAGTGCCAGCACCCATATGGGTGCTGATTCGAGTCTCAGCTGCTCCACTCCTGGTCCAGCTCTCTGCTGGCCTGGGAAAGCAGTGGAAGATGGCCCAAGTCCTTGGGCGCCTGCACCGACATGGGAGACCTGGAAGAAGCTCCTGATCGGCATGACTCCAGCCGTTGTGGCCAGTTGGGGAGTGAACCAGTGAGTAGAAGACCGCCTGCTCTCTGCCTCTCTGTAACTCTGCCTTTCAAATAAATAAATACATCTTAAAAAAAAAAAAAAAAAAGACTATCCACTACAACACCATTGGAAGCTTGGAAGCAGCCACGACGGAAAATAGTATCAACGCCATCAAAACAGGCTGGTTAAATGCATTTTGGTATACACATGCAATGGAATATTAAGCAAATAAACTGAGGTCACTGTAAATATGGAATGTTTTCTAAGTTACACTGCTAGATAAAAAAGGCAAGGGTAGGCCCGACGTTGCAGCGCAGTGGGTTAAGCCTCCACTTGGACATCTGCATCCCCTTTTTGAGTGCTGGTTTGAGCATCAACTCCTGATCCAGTTCCCTGCTCTGGGATGGCAGCAGCTGATGGTTCGCCGCCAATCATGTGGGAGACCCTGATGGAGTTCCTGGCTTCTGGTTCCCATCTGGTACAGACCTGGCTATTGCAGCCATTTGGGGAGTGACCCAGTGGATGGAAGCTCTCTCTCTGTTGCTATACATTTCAAATAGATGAATAAATCTTTAAAAAAAAAACAATAAAACAAGGCTAGGTCAGTAGGCGTGGTGGGCTACATGCTGACAGGCACTCAGGTAAGTATGCAGTTGCCCTGTTCCCACAAGTTCCTGTGAAGGTGCACCACTCAGGCTGTCTCTGGGCGGGGGAGCTGGAGGCCCGGGACAGCAGGACCGGCTTCACTGAGCACACCTGAGCACCACTGAACTGGATGCTTTCCGCCTGGTGCGTGGTCTGAATGTGCGTCCCCTGCACAGCCCCCGTGCTGAATCCTTTCCCCAGGTGACAGTGCTAGGAAGCGAGGCCTCTGAGGGGTGATCAGATCAGGAGACAAACCTCATGAATGGGGGGGGGCTGCGTCCAAGAGACCCGTGGGGTCACGGCAAGGGACCATTTCTGAGCCAGAAAGGGGGTCCTCACTAGATCGGACTTCCTGGCCTCCAGGAATATAATAAATAACTGTTACTCAGAAGCCACCGACTCTGGTATTTTTGATTTAGCTGTCCAAAGAGACCAAGACACACATATGCAAATTAAGTATTCTAACGCCATTCCCCTAGGACCACCCCATGACAGAGAAATAAGTTATGGGTTTACGGGTGAGGAGCTGGAAGAGCTGTACTGGCCAGGGTTCTCCAAAGTTATTTGCTGTATATGAACTATAAAACTTGATACACATCTCCAACATGTGTATGCTGCAAAGCTAATGATATGGGCCAGCACTGTGAGCTGGTTTAAGTTCATACGGGCACGGGTTCAAGTCCTCGCTGCTCCTTGCTAATGGCCTGGGAAAGCAGTGAAGACCTTCTTGGGGGAGTGAACCAAGATGGAAGACCTCTGTCTCTCCCTCTATCTGTAATTCTGCCTCTCAAATAAACAAAAAATAAATAAATAAATAAATAAATAAAAACCTATGATAGCAGTCAGTGCTGTGGCGTAGCAGTCAAGCTGCTGCCTGTGATCCCAGCATCCCATCCAGGCACTGCTTCGAGTCCCAGCTGTTCCACTGCCAATCCAGCTCCCTGCTGATGTGCCTGGGAAAGCAGCGGAAGATGCTTGGGCCCCTGTGCCATGCACGTAGATCAGAATGAAGATCCTGGCTCCCGGCTTGCAGCTGGCTCAGCTCAGGCCACGGTGGCCCGATGGAATATCTCCGCATTTCTCCCTCTCTCTTCAACTCTAACAAATAAACTATAAGAAAAAAAAAACCCTTATGATAGTTGCCATTTGTCTACAACAAAATAATTAAGTATCAGCAACTTCTAATTGTTCAGACCAATGACATATATTATCTGCATGCACTGATGAACTCGTATTTACATGTATCACGGAACGTATTCAAAGTGAAGGACTAAGTAAGGCTGCACCTGAGAAGTGCAGACCAAAGGCCAGATTCCACCCCACACTCTTTCCCGTGGACAGTACTGTGCTGGGCGAGGGTCAGCAAGAATCCTGCCACGCCGCGGTGCTGCCTCACTTTCAGCCGCCAGCCGCCAACTTTTACTCCACAGAGTTTTGTCAAAATGAAAACTGTGTTTCAAAACATGAAGCTTGGAGCTGGGGCTGTGGTGCAGCAGCTTAAAACCCCAGCCCACAGTGCCAGCATCCCATATGGGCGCCCGTTTAAATCCTGGCCGTTCCACTTCCAATCCAGCTCCCTGCTAATGCGCCTGGGAAAGCAGCGGAGGATGGCCCCAGTCCTTGGGCCCCTGCACCCATGTGGGAGACCCAGAAGAAGCTCCTGGCTCCTGGCTTCGGATTGGCTCAGCTCTGGCCATTGCGACCATTTAGGGAGCGAACCAGCAGATGGAAGACTTCCTTTCTCTGTCTCTACCTCTCTGTAAATCTTTCAAACAAAAACAAATAAAAGAATCTTTTTTTTAAAAAATGAAGCTTACCCCTTAGAAAATGCAGAGTAGCTAAGGGTAATTCAGACTGATCTGGAATGGAAAATCCCAAGTCCTCTTCACGGCTGCACCTCATATGCACACCACCTTCCTGGCACACATGCCACAGCATCCTGGGAGGAGCAGATGCAAACAAAGCAGCACCCGCATTCTCCCCACACTTTCAAAACAAACCAGGGCCCCTGCAGCTGGGGCTGCAGATAGGAATTTTTATTTTTAATGTATTTCAAAGAGAGGTATCATCCACCTACTTAGTTTACTCCCCAAACCCCCGCAGCAACCACGGCTGGGCAGGACAAAGCCAGAGGACAGAATGCAGTCTGGGTCTCCCACGTAGCTGGTAGGGATCCAAGCACCTAAGCCATTCCGTGCTGTCTCCTAGGGTGTGCAACAGCAGGAAGCCAGAATCAGAAAGGGAGCTGGGACCCAGGACAGGGGCTGCACCAAATGCCCATCCCCCAGATAGGAATGTTTACGCATAATAATGCCTCAGTAATTTGGAGCTGAGATGCAGATGAAGCCAAAGCAACATAGTTGCCTACTTTCAAGCTTTAGCTACTGAACACTGGTTTCAATTCTCTTCTTTACTGCGTATATCCAGATTCGGATTTGGAAATAATTCTGATGCCCGTTCCTGCTCTTTCAGAGCAAGGGGTTTTCCTCTAAGCAAATAAACCCAATCATGGAGAGCATGTTGAACCTACCCTATTAGTGATCAGTAGGAAAGAATGTCAAATCCACCCAATTACCGATCAATTTCTTCCAGAGCTCCAGGCTCCTGGACACATGGCCTCTCCAGACCAGTGCAGCAGCTCTGAAGTCCACATACTCTCAACCCACACTGGCCCTGTGCACGCCAATAAGCTTCCACACTGTGCCTCCCCCAGCCCCCTGTGGCTTCTACTCCTCTGCTTTCTGGGTTGCTCACATTCTCCATCTTGAACTTGTAGGGTCGGAGATTTGGAATTTAGACAGATGAAATTCCTCAGTCCTAAGGAAGAGCACACCCGGAAACCCCCAAAGCTCTGTACTGGCACCAGCCTCCCAGTCGAAGACAAGAACTCTAACTACAATGGACCTATGCTTGCTTTTTAAATGTCTTACAACTACCAAGGGAGTAAAGGACAAACTCTTCCTCCTGAGAGGGAGGAGGATGAAGTGCAGAACACAGCAGCACGGCTCTCAGCTCTCAGCCCTCAGCCCTCCAGTTCCCTCTTGGCGCCTCTGGCCTACCAGGCAGACAGGCTCCAGACTCAGCTCTGTGTAACTCGGCTCCTGCTTTTTAATCCAGTTCCTTTTTTGTCCCCATTCCACACGCAGCTGCGGCAGGGAAGCACGCCTGAGACAGAGGCGCCTTTTCTGTCCTGGTGGTCGTCCCAGTCCAGGGATCACTGCTGGGGGCTCTGGGATGGGAGGCCACAGGCCACTGGTGGACTCCACCTGAAGTCACCTACTGTCCCTCCAGGTTAGCATATCTGTGCTTTGGATCAACGACTTCTCCAAAGTCATTAGCTCATACTGTCTAAAAAGTAAGGCAAACCCAATTTATAACCAAAGCTAATACCATGAGCATGGTGGAGGGGGGGGTGCCTTTTCCCAAACCAGCCCTGTGTGGGGACTGCAAACAACCTCTCAGGACGTGAACACCTACGGCAGAATACGTTCCCTAGTCCCCTACGCAATGGTTAAACCTTAGAGAAAAGCTAAGTAGAAAGCAAGCAGCCTGTCTCTAACTATGACTATGGTGTATTCAAATGCAGAGAGGCTTCTCAACAACACAGCTTTCCAAGGGCAGTGCTACTGTGTTTCTGGCAAAAGCCAAATTCTGAGGGTCAGACACATTCTAAGGCCCACTGTGTGCTTTCTAGAGTTAAGGAAGTGGCAGGCACCCCACTCTTCCCTCCCCCCATAAGAGGACAGGAGAAAAGGAAACAGGATGCTTCAGGTTTCGTTTTTCTTTTTTTTCTTTTTTTAAGGAACAATCTAAATACAAGAAACTATTTCCTTAAAAACCCTGACACGGGAGTTCTGTTAGCAAAGACATCTAAATAGCCACAGAGTCCAAAAAGAAAAAAGAAAGAAAAGCTTGAGAACGTGGGTGAAGGTTCTGCACACCAGACAAGGCAGGCGGTTTGGTTACAGATGCCACTGTCATCCATGTTCGGCTCCATCAGTGTCACAAGTGGAACGGGTTTTTCTTTAAAAAATATGGGCAGAAGTAAAGGACTGGGACCAACTAGAGTTAAGGGAAAGGTGAGGCCCCAAACTGTATCCCTGGACTGTCTCCTGACATGGGATTGAACTCAAAAACCATTCCGTGTCCCAACACAAAGATCTTCAGCTTGGCTTTTAATCAGAATTCCACGGACTCTTTGAAAGAAAATCCCAGTCACGTGGCTGTAGCCGTCCTCTGGAGTGTCTGGGGTGGGTCCCAGGCGTCAGTGTTAGGTTCACCAGGTGACCCCGGTGCACAGCTGAGGACCAGCACTGCACAGAGGCAGGGAGTGACGGCGCAGGTTCCTGGGCGAGGACGGGCCATCTGCTGGGCAGCACTGGCTCGCAAACCCTGGGGGCTCTCTGCTCAGGAGTGCCACACGTTACCAGCTTTCAGCGTTAACTTTGAGCCTTTCCATACACTTTGGTGATTTTTAGAGCAATATTTAATCAGGTAAATACCAGCAAAGAGAGAAGGGGGGGGGGGGGGCAAAGAAAGAATCTCCATAAGGCATGATATGAATGAACAGGTGAACAAACAATCTCGGGTTTAAGAGTAGTGCATGAGAAGTCAAAGCCTATGAAATTTTATTCATACAAAAGAATAAAAAGATCTATTTTAAGAGGATTGATTTGAACTGATGTTTTTCAGCTTTTCCTGTTCTATGAACATGAAATTGTTTCTCAGAAAGACTTAAGATAGGTAATCATTAAATAAACACCTTTACCTTACCCCTGCAAAAGGACAAAAAGCCGAGCGCCCCACTTTACAGACGGCAAAGCAGACTCTTTTCAGTTAAGGACACTGGCAAGTGCATGAAACTGATCTCAGGCACGCCAGCCGCCGTGCCTGCGGACAGGAAGTGATGAGCTGTCCGAAGGCCTTACGACAAGTCCCCAGAGACTGAGATGGTCAAAGCAACACCAGGAAAACAACAAAACCAAAACAAACGGCGCCAGCTATTTACAGCCTCCATCTGCAATGTGACTCGGGCTCCACTTTCAGCACAAAACAAAACCAGAGCACAGACGAAGCAGGTGCCAGCCAGGCTGAGGGCAGAAACGCGCGGCAGCAACCTGCCAGGAGCACAGCCGTGTCTTGGTCTTCCTGCGGTTCTGTCACTACAAATGACACAAAGTAAAGGGGCCAATGTCTTACAGAAATGACTCGTCACCACATTTAGGACAAACTACTCGAAGTCACAAGCACTGGGTCTGGGAGAGCAGAGTGGACGGCCACACACTCAGATGAAGGATGCGCGTCTCCATGAGGCTGGAGAAGGGAAGCAGGGCTCTGCGCGGCCGGCGGCTTCTGCACGGAGGAGTCTTCTAATAGTCCTGGACACAGAGACAAGAGCCCCGGCTTACTTTCGGCAGAACACTGGTTTGAGTCTAAGGAAAAAAATCATAGCAACAGTTCTGCTAGGGGACTGTTCTGTAGCTGGATTCCATTTCAAGTGTGACGTACAGCGTGACGACATACAGCGTGACAACCTCAGCAAATGGCCCGGGCAGGGACTGACACATCAGTTCTGCTCTTACTGAACACAGCAGCTGGCGGTGGGAGGCCGGCCTTCTTTAATCAAAGGGAATATTTCTTTAGTAAAACTGTGTGTGACCTTTCTCTCTCCCAAACATACAAAAAAAAAAAAAAAGTAACTAATACTAGAAACTAAACGGTATCCAGATGGATGGCCCTGACTTTGAAAGGAGAGCACTGATCCCAACTGGGAGGGAGCCCTCAAACTCTGAAAATGGATACACTTTTCTAATCAGTCACAAAATTGCCAGCCTGTACCAAGTGGTTTGATACTTACAGCTCGAGGTTTTTTGTTTAACTTCAGATCAATCCTGTGAGAGGAAAGATAAGAGAGTTGCATTTTAAAGCACGGAAAGAGGGTCCAACAATCAGCTACTGCACAGGGCACAGGCTATAACAGAGACTATTGGGTTAAGTCAAGTCCACATTCTTCATTAGACTATGTCATATTTAGCTGTCTACCCGGATAGTATTAAGCAAGTATTAAAAAGCGAGCAGGTAATTTGCCATAAGGCAAACTTGGGTGACTCAAAAGGAAATATGCAGCAGTTACAAAAAAAGCCATACAATTTTTAAAAACTATTCCCGTATTATATGTTAAAGAGATTGAATTAAGAGGGCATGCTCTATGTTAATGTGTTAACTCTTAACTATTTATCACTGAGAATTACTGAGACACAGGTGATTAAGAACAGGAAAGAGACTAGGAGTTTGTATTTCTGGACATGAAACACAAAAGAAATTAAATGAATTTTAACTTTTTAAATCTTTCCAAAGCAAAGTATCAAATTTTTAAACTATTAATCTCCTTAAGAAGCAAAGCCAGAAAATCAATTTGAATATGAATTAAAGGTTATCTATTTAAAAAGAAATTAAAATGCATAAAAGTGAAGTTTACTTAATTTTGCTTAAGTTATTAAATAAAATGTTACCTCCATCACGTTTTTCTGTTTTTAAAAAAAACTTCCCAGCCTAACCTAATATACATACCTACAATTAAACAGATAAACTATGGGTTAGAAGGGTCTCAAAAAGGCATACCGGTGTCTACACACTAAACAACACAGCACAAATACTAATTCAAATCAAACTTACTCAAAGTCATAATCAAACATGCCAGACGGGCTGGGGCAGCATTGGAAAGGAAGAAAGCAGTAGAGATTAATACACTAATTGAATCAATTAGTCGATTAGCCACCTTAGCAAGATTTGTAGAAACAAAATCAGCTTTAGGAATCTTAGGCAATAAAGGTTCAAATATCAAAGCACCAAAGATTTGTGGTCAGGAGACTCCCTTCCCTCAACGGAATTCATATCAGAAGAACAGACTATGAAAAGAAACGTTATTTCATTAGAAAGCTACAGAAACCTGGAGCCCTTTTATCAGCTGCCAGATTCAGAGTTAGAACTTTTAACGTATTGAATTAAATTGAAAAATATCATTAGGACATTAGAAGAAACAGAAAGGAAGGCTTGGTCACATAGCGAAAGGCATTTAAGACAGTGCCAACAGCTCAGGGCAATACACCTTCACTACAATAAAAGATGACAAAAACAGTCCAAACATTAAAGCAGGAAAACATATGGCCACTTTTGACTCAAGTGACAAATTCTAAAGGTGGTCCAGGGACACGGTACCCCTTCCCCACAGCCTGCATGCTAGCAGCCCACAGGCGAACAAGCACACTTGGGGGCAGGTCCACAAACAGAACAGCAGTACGACTGCCCCCAGGCAGGTGATGACAGGGACCCACACGCATCAGGGCTACATAAAGGACAAGGAAGTTCGCCAAGCCCCTATTAAAACAAAGGAAAATTGGCATCCGTAAGTATCCAAGACTCAGGGGCCTACATGGGAGTGGAACAGACGGCCACTTTGTGACATCACCACTCACAGAGGTTGGTCTGAAAAACACGCGCGACCCTGGAGCTGGACCCGGCTCCCTTGCTGGCTCCCATGCCTTTCAGACTGCAGGCGGGGGTAAAACCACATATACAGATGGCCACACTTTCCTCCCAACGTTTACAAGAGTGACGCTGGAAGAAAGCTTCCCATTGGCATGGATCTTCAGCAGGGGACACGGTAAATGTACAGGAGGGATTATCCACACTCCGCTTTCAGCCTGACTCCGCTTAGCTCACAGACTGAAATGCACTAGACCTGGCTAACCAGCATTGACAGACTCCCTGGGAGAATTCTAGGGTTTGGTATTGTAGTAAAAACCTGGAAGAGCAGCTGTGAGTTGTCATTTCATCTTTTTCATTAGTGGCACTGGGACTTATTGTTCAGACATCATGAAAACATCAGGACACTGTGATCATTTATGCTAAAAATTATCTGATAAATTTTCACATTCATGAAGAGGGCAAATTCAAAAGCAACTTCTTTTTGTCTAAATACCATTGCTATCTGTACTTTGCCTTGAGTAAATGAACAGTGCCTGGCACGCGGTGAGCCTTCAAACACCTGCTGGAGTAACGGACTGCCGACGGTCTACCCGACGTGGCATGTGGGCAGGGAAAGCCTGTGCTGGCTGCAAACTTTCCAGTGCTGTAGATGGTGTCTGTCCCACCCCAGCCAGAGCTCCTGACTAAAGATGGCAGGAATCCAAGAACCTGAACTGGCCACCAAAGTCCCTGCCCCACGGGCCACCGAACCTGGCTTCCCTAGACAGAAGTCATCAGTTCCCTTCTCCCTTGGGGCAGAGGAGAAGACCAGCTAGACGCTGAATCAGAGAAAAGACGGAGGGACAGCAATAAAAGCCAGGATCCTTTCCAGTGTGCAAGCAATCACTAACACCAGAGACTGACATAAGTCCTCGTATTTTTCTGGAAGCAGATGCCTCCTAAGGTGCAGAGCTGAAAGGATGTGGAAGAAGTGCTGACACCAACGCAAGTTGTTGAATGCTCTGTTCAGTCCTTGTGTCAGCGATCAGCTAATCCCTCACTACCGACAATGAGGCGTTACCTGAAACAGACAGCTATCTAGAGTCCACTGCCCAGCAATGGAAAGGAGTCCCAGAAACTCTCAAGGAATCTTCTCCCTACTCTAGACGCCCTGGAGTAGGGAAAGAATGATTACTTTCAGATCACACTGGAGCAAGTTTAATAAAAACAACGTGAGTATGACATTTGGCTATCTTGACAAAATTGAAAGTATTTCTTAAAGAGCATGGTTCTCTGTTTTTTTGTGATAAGCTAGCACCAGTTCTATCACAGTGGCCAAATAGATTGAAGCTTTACAAAAAAAAAATATGCAATTTTTGCTATTTCTTACTACAGTTATGAGATTAGTATGGTGAATTCTGGTTTGCAGAAAAATGTTAAGTAACAGTCCATCATCACTGTTCAGAAGAAATACTATTTCTGTAGTTCAGAAACACCACTACCATCAACAACAAAAACTCTCAAAAGAATTAATCAGCTGGTGCCAAGGAGGCTCCATAAGAGTTAATCCTACATGATCCCATCATGCCATATTCCCGAGGCTAACAGTTTCAGTATCCTGGGTACATAAAGAAACAGCCTACAGGCTTGCAAAGGAAGCCAGAGACTCACCCATTCCTTGCATGCCCCCCTTCGCTACTCAGCACACAGGGGAGTAGGACCAGCACCAGCCTATGCATACGTGGGCTGAGGCCAGGGCAAGATGCCTTACTCTGTGAACCATGGATTACTCTCTCTGAGTGACGCTGCCTAATTCTCAACATTTGAGTTCCCAGGCCCCAACATTATCATACAAACTGCAGGCACAGGGAGCACTACCATCACCTGGGTGACACCTGACCTTTCTGTCCACGGATGTCCTGGCTCCTTATGGACTCGCCGCAAAACACACGACGGAGCAATGCTATCTAGGAAAGCAGTCTCCTATTTTGCAGGCTTCCTATGGTTCTTCCAGTATCTGAAGTCAGCACATTGCGAAGAAATACAAAAACAGAAAACCACAAGCAACCAAAAAACTTGCACTGAAAAGGGGGAAAAAAAAGGCATGCTAAATCAGTTTTCTCCATCTACAAAGGAACAGGGTAGAAAGGGTCAGGATTAACAGCAAAAGACCGTACCCCACTGGACAGCTTCCCAAGATGTACCGTGGCATTTGTGAAACACCAACACACAGGTTCTGCTTCCGTTTCCCCTCTTTTCCAAAAGGATTCCAACGCACTGTGTCAATGTTGCTATGGAACAAAACCCTTCTGCACTAGAAACGGGGGGTAGGGGTCCCAGAATTCTCTTCTGGGTTACTCTATGCCCTCCGCCCCACAAGGGAACATCAGCCCAGTTCATTTGGGCCAAAGGCAGCTCTTCCGCAACAATCCTGAAGCGTCCTGCACGAAGTCCTCCCCAGCAGTGGCCACTGACCTGTGTCGGTTTTTATTCTTCCGCTTTTTATGGCTGCTGTGATGACTCCCTGAGGAGGTGGAGGAGGCAGCCTTCTGAGGCTTCACCCCCTGCACAGATCCGTCCAGGTCCTCCGCGTCCTCCTGGCTGGGCTCGTTCTCCTGATTGTGGAAGTCTGGAGAGGTATCACTTTCCGTCCCACTGCCGGGCTCCCCTGCAGGGAATAAACACAGGCCCACCAAGCGCCATCAGCGTCCCCGGCAATCACGCCAGTGCCCGGAAAGGGCTGCTGAGGCAGGAAAAAGCGCTTCCTTTTCCTCAAGGTCAGACATTCTCAAGGCCAGAGCACAATGATACTAAGATCACGGTCACCAGGGGTCATGAAAAACATAGCCCGGGAAACAGGGTAACCAGAGGCAGCAGCTCTGCTCACTGCTGGGACGCCATGGGGAGAAACGCACAGGCAGGATGACCCCACTGCACAAAGGGAATTTAAACAGAGACCATGCTGATGGGACTAACATAGTTATTCAGTAGATAGGTTTCCAGGGGGTAGAGGATATCTTGGGGAAAAGCCCATGGTTGGGACTAGATCCTTTCCCAAATCATACAGGAGTCCTTTTTCTTCTTTCAACAGAGCTCATCTTTTCCCTTTTTAAAATTTATTTGAAAGGCAGAAGAGAAGAAAAGAGAGACACAAAGAGAGAATATATATATTCCCATACATGTTCACTCCCTAAATACCTGCAACAGCTGGAGCTGAGTCAGGTCGAAGTCAGGAGTCCAGAACTCAATCCAAGACTCCAGTGTGGGTAACAGGGACCTAACTACCTAAGCCATCACCTGCTGCCTCCCGGGGTGCACATTAGCAGGAAGCTGGAATCAGAATAGGGCCAGGAGGACTCGAGCTAAGGCACCTCAATATGCGATACAGGCATCCCAAGCAATGTCTTTTTTTTTTTTTTAAGATTCATTTGAGAGGCAGAGTTACAGACAGAGAGGGAGAGATAGAGAGAGGGTCTTCCATCCACTTGTTCACACCCTAAATGGCCACAACAGCCAAAGCTGGGACAATCTGAGGCCAGAAGCCAGGAGCTTCTTCCGGGTCTACCATGTGGGTTCAGGGTCCCAAGGACTTGGGTCATCTTCTACTGCTTTCCCAGGCCATAGCAGAGAGCGGGATTGGAAGTGAAGCAGCCAGGAATTGATCCAGCACTCATTTGGGATACTGGCACTACACATGGCAGCTTTACACACTACGCCACAGTGCCGGCCCCTCTCCAAACAGTGTCTTAACCGTTGTGCCAAACGTCCACCCTAAGAATTCTTTCTCTAAAGAGAGGTCCAAGGAGACAAGCCTATTACCCAAATAACTCTGAGAGGCTTCTTTTCTTTTCAAGATTTGTGTATTTATTTAAAGGCAGAGCAATACTGCAGGGTACAGGTTGGGGGAAACACAGAGATATCTTCCATCTGTTGGTACACCCCCTAAATGAGCACAACAGCCAGAACTGGGCCCCTGCTACCCATGTGGGAGATCCAGATGGAGTTCCTGGTTCCTAACTTTGGCCTGCACCAGCCCTGGCCATTGGGGTCATTCAGGGAGTGAACCAGCAGATGGAAGATATCGCTCTCCCTCTCTCTTTCTGTAACTCTGCCTTTCAAATAAGTAATTTATAAATAAATCTTAAAAAAAAAAAAAAAAAGAGGACCTAGTGCTGTGGCATAGTGGATTAAACCACTGCCCACAGTGCTGGCATCCCATGTGGGCATAGGTTAAAGTCCCAGCTGCTCCACTTCTGATCCAGCTCCCTGCTAATGTGCCTGGGAAAGCAGTGGAGGATGACTCAAGTGCTTGGGCCCCTGCACCCATGTAGGAGACCCAGATGAAGCTCCTGGCTTTGGCCTGGCCCAACCCTGGCCATTGCAGCCATTTGGGGAGTAAACCAGCCAATGGAAGACTCTGTTTCTCCCTCTCTATAATTCGGCCTTTCAGATACATAAATCTTTAAAAAAAAAAAAAGTGTGTGTTTTTTTTTTAAGATTCTTTATTTATCTGAAAGTCAGAGTTACAAAGAGAGAGAAGGAGAGACAGAGAGACAGAGACAGAGACAGAGACAGAGAGAGAGAGAGAGTTCTTCCATCCACTGGTTCCCAATTGGACGCATTGGCTGGAGCTGCATTGATCTGAAGCCAGGAGCCAGGAACTTCTTCCGGGTCTCCCATGCGGGTGCAGAGGCCCAAGGACTTGGGCCATCTTCTACTGCTTTCTCAAGCCATAGCAGAGAGCTGGACTGCAAGTGGAGCAGTTGGGACTTGAACCAGTGCCCATATGGAATGCCAGCACTGCAGGTGGTGGCTTTACTAACTACAGCGCTAGCACCCCCCAAAAAAGTGTTTTTTAAGAAGCATGAATACAGCCGGCGCCGTGGCTCAATAGGCTAATCCTCCACCTTGCGGCGCCGGCACACCGGGTTCTAGTCCCGGTCGGGGCGCCGGATTCTGTCCCGGTTGCCCCTCTTCCAGGCCAGCTCTCTGCTGTGGCCAGGGAGTGCAGTGGAGGATGGCCCAGGTGCTTGGGCCCTGCACCCCATGGGAGACCAGGAAAAGCACCTGGATCCTGGCTCCTGCCATCGGATCAGCGCGGTGCGCCAGCTGCAGCGGCGGCCATTGGAGGGTGAACCAACGGCAAAAGGAAGACCTTTCTCTCTCTGTCTCTCTCTCACTGTCCACTCTGCCTGTCAAAAAAAAAAAAAAAAGCACGAATACTCTTCAACTGACACATTTCTAATGTGAAAAATCATCACATATTAATTAAACAAAACCAAGTTCAAGATGAACTCGTATATGCCTTGAAGAATATAACTAAGCCAGCACCATGGCTCAATAGGCTAATCCTCTGCCTTGCGGCACCGGCACACCGGGTTCTAGTCCCGGTCGGGTGCCGGATTCTGTCCCAGTTGCCCCTCTTCCAGGCCAGCTCTCTGCTGTGGCCCAGGAAGGCAGTGGAGGATGGGCCCTGCACCCCATGGGAGACCAGGAGAAGCACATGGCTCCTGCCATCTGATCAGCACGGTACGCTGGCCGCAGTGCGCCGGCCGCAGCAGCCATTGGAGGGTGAACCAACAGCAAAGGAAGACCTTTCTTTCTCTCTCTCTCTCTCTCTCACTCTCCACTCTGCCTGTCAAAAGAACAAAAAACAAAAGAATATAACTGGATATATTTTGATAAATATATATTTACTTTCCTGGAAGGAATCTTTTAAAACTTTTAATAATCAATTAAAAGGCAAAGTAACAGAATAAGAGGAAGATTATATATAGAGAGAGAAATCCTCCATCCACTGGTTCTTTCCTCAAATGCCTGTAACAGCAAGGGCTGGGCCAAAGAGGTGAGTCCAGAATTCCATCTGGGTCTCCCATGTGGGTGGCAAGAACCCAAGTACTTGAGCCATCACCTTCTGCCTCCCAGGCACACAATGTGGAAGCGGCTTGATTCCAGGCGTGCTGTGACAGGAGATGCAGGCATCCCAAGCAGTGGCTTAACCTGCTGCGCCACAATGCTCACCCCAGCAATTTCTTAATAGAAATAAACAGGTGAAGACTACACTTTACTCAACTCTTGGGGGACCCTAACTACAAACATTATCTGTTTCTAAAAATTATCTAAAGGGGTTACGTAGGCAGCAGGATCAGCAACCAGTAAGCCCACTCTTTTTTAAAGATTTATTTATCTGAAAGACAAAGTGACACAGAGAGATCTTGTATCTACTGATTCACTCCCCAAATGCCAGCAACGTCCAGGACTGTGCCAGCTGAAGCCAGGAGCCAGGAATTCCACTCAAGTCTCCTACATAAGTTGCAGGAACTCAAGTGCTTACGTCATCATCCACTGCATCCCAGAAGCACTAGCAGGACACAGGGTGGGCAGCAGAGCCGCTGGCACTCAAATCTGCACTCTCTTACGGGATGCCGGGGTCCCAAGCAGTAGCTTTACCCTCTATGCCACAACTCCTGCACCCTGGTTTTCTTCTTTTGGCCTTTTTATGATAAACTTCTAGGAAGAGACTTTGAGTTGAGTAGCACATGGATATAAGAAGTAAAGAAGCAGTCCCCAAAACTAAGAAATAGCCAGATCCGAGAAATCATGCAACAATATTTTTGAACACATTTCATGAAAACCACAGGAGAGGGAGTACTAGAGATATTAAACTAGAAAAAGTATCCTTCTAAATTCAAGAAAATGTATTTCACATAAAAAAAATCACAAAAGAACTCGAAAACTTACTACACAAAGCTACAATAAGCAATACTGCATGGTACTAGCATTAAGCATAAACATGGAGATCCAGGGAACAGAATTCAGAGTCCAGACACAAGCCCTCACATTCATGTTCAGCAGTTTTGTGACAGGGTGACAAAACAATTCAATGAAGAAGGAAGAGTGGTGCTGGGACAACTGGGTATTTACATGCAAAGGAATGAAGCTGGGCCTCTCCCCAGTTCTATACAAAATGTAACTCAAAATGGACCACACACCTGAATATAAGAGCTAGAAGTCCTAGGATCCATTGTGTTAGGCAGTGCTTTCTTAGTTATGCCCACAAAAGCAATTCCAACAAAAGAAAAAGATAAATTGGGCTGTATCATTTACTTAAAAACTGAAACACAAAAAAAAATGCCACCCTGAAATTGAAAGACAGCTCATAGAATGGGAGAAGATTTGTGAATCATATACAATATCTGAAAATGGACTTGTACGTGGGGGCCAGCCATTGTGGCATAGAGGGCTAAGCTGTTGCCTGCAACACCAACATCCCATATGGGCGCTGGCACAAGTCTCACTGCTCCACTTCCAATCCAGCTCCCCGCTAATGCACCTAGGAAAGCAGCAGAGAAAGGCCCAAGTGTGTGGGCCCCTACACACACATGGGAGGCCCTCCTGGCTCCTGGTTTTAGTCTGGCTGTGGAGGCCATTTGGGGCGTGAACCAGCAGATGAAAAATTTGTCTCTCCCTCTCTGTAACTCTGCCTTTCAAATAAATAAATAATTTTTCAAGAAAGGGACTTTTATCTAATATATATGTAAAGAACTCAGAATTCAATAAAAAGACACAAATTTAAAAAGTTGGCAGAAGATTTGAATAGACATTTCTCCCAAGAAGACATCCAAATAGTCATAAGCCATTCAGAAAGATGAGTTAGGATAACACCAA